ATTACCGGCCAGGTGTGTCTTGGCCAGGTGTGGGGTTACTCAAGTACTTAGGCCGGGGTCAGGTCTCTTGGGTCTTGGGGTGTGTCAACCTGGTATGTGGTGGTACCACAAGGTCTGTACCCAATCACTGTTATATGTGATGTAATTCTCTGAGCTGTAAGCTATGGTCTGATAATCAATCATTACAGAGGTGATATGGTGGAAGCGGGGAGTGGGTCACTTGATTGACAAAAGCTTTCAAAACGAAAATACAATAAACAAAGTTCAACATATAGATTAACTATACATCTGGTAATGTTTGAGCATAAGAACATAAGAATGGAGAAAACTGCAGCGGGCCTACTGACCCATACTGGGCAGTCCCGTTTACACCCAACCCCTATCGCTCATATATCCATCCAACCTATGTTTGAAGCTATCCAGCATATTCCAGTTAATGATGATATTTGGTAACTTGTTCCTTTCATCCACTACTCTGTTTCCAAACCAGTGTTTACCTATTTCACACCGAAATCTAAATTTGTCTAATTTAAAACCATTGTTACGAGTTCGCTCCTGGTTGGATAGTTTGAGTACCTTTGTAATGTCCCCTTTGCTTGGCCCTGACTTCCATTTATACACCTCTATCATGTCGCCCCTCACTCTACGTCTCTCGAGGGAGTGCAAATTAAGATGCTTTAACCTGTCTCTGTACTCAAGGTTCCTGATGACCGGGATTTCTCTTGTCATTCTCCTCTGGATTCTTTCCAAGGATTCTATATCCATTCTGTAATAGGGTGACCGGAACTGAACTGTGTAATCCAGGTGAGGTCTCACAAGCGCTAGATATAATTTTAAGATGACCTTGCTAATCTTGTTACTAACACTCCTTTGTATGAACCCAAGTACTTTCTTAGCCTTGCTACTTGCAAAAACACATTGTTTACTTGGGTTAAGATTCCTACTTATCATTACTCCTAAATCTCTCTCGCAGTCGGATTACACAATGGCATCGTTTTTCACCTGGAAAGTGGTTTCCCTGTTTACATCTCCTATACTGAGTACTTTACATTTGTCCACATTAAATTTCATCTGCCATTTTTCCGACCATTCGAAAAATTTGTTTAGATCTTCCTGTACTTTTGCAGAGTCCTCGTCAGATGTAATTACACATCCTATTTTAGTGTCAAGAGCAAATTTACTTATGTTGCTGTCTATGCCGATATCTATGTCGTATATGTATATAATAAATAATAATGGTCCAAGTACTGAGCCTTGGGGAACTCCACTAGTGATGTTGCTCCAATGCGATTTAGTGCCGTTTATGCTCACTGGCTGTTTCCTGTCCCGTAACCACGCCCTAATCCATTTAAGGATATTACCTTTGATGCCATGCGCTTCTACCTTTCTAATTCGTCTTTCGTGGGGGACTCTTTCGAAGGCTTTGCTAAAGTCGAGATATACCACATCATAATTGTGCCCCTCGTCCACCTATTCGAAAACTGATGAAAAGAATGTTAATAGATTAGTTAGATATGAACGCCCGCTTGCGAAGCCATGTTGGGAATCATTGATCAACTTGTGCTTCTCCAGGTGGGTTCGATTAGAGTTTGAAATGATTGATTCTAGTAATTTGCCTACTATTGATGTTAGACTGATTGGGCGGTAGTTAGAGGATAGTGATCTATCCCCCTTCTTGAAAATCAGTATTACATTCGCTATCCTTCAGAATTCTGGTACTACACCTGTTTTTAATGACATGTTAAACAACTTTGCTAAGGGCATACTAAGCTCTTCCTTACATTCCTTTAATACTCTGGCAAATATCTCATCAAGACCAGGTGACTTATAAGGCTTTAGTTTGTCTATTTGCTTATTAACATCGTTACTAGTCACTACTACATCTGAATAGAGTCGGTGCTTCGGGTATCATGTTTAAATTTTCGGTGGTAAAAACGGTTGAAAAATATTTATTCAGATTAGTGCTCATTTCTCCATCCTTATCAGTTAGCTCACTTGTATCTGAACGCATTGGTCCAATCTTATCTCGTGTTTTAGTTTGATACAGTTGGTAGAATCCTTTGGGGTTTGTCTTCGCCTTCCTTGCTATCTACAGCTCATTATTTCTCTTTGCTTTTCTTATCTCGATCTTAACCCTACCGGCCAATACCTTATAATACTCCCAGAGGTAAATTTCGCCACGATTTATTCTTCTACCTATAGCCTTCCTTTGGCCAATAATGTCCTTAAATAATTATTTATCCATTTAGGGTCATTGTTCTCTGATCTGAGTTTTTTGTATGGTATGTTCTGCCTTTGTGCATTAAGTAACTCATTTTATAGTTGTTTTGGAACTCGGCAATCTCAGATCTCATTATCAGGTCGGTGTCATCTGTCAGGTTCATGCCCAAGGGCTACACCTCCTCTCTCAGCTGCCTCTTTAAACTATCATAGTTTGCCCTTCTGAAATCTGGAACTTTAATGGAATTTTCCTTACGTCTGACCTGAAAATCTAACTGGAATCAAATTTCCTTGTGATCGCTGTTTACAAGTTCATTCCCTACCTCGACATTGCTAATGAGGTTTTCTCTGGTCGACAGAACTAAATCGAGTATATTATTACCCCGGGTGGTTTCGGTTATATGTTGACTTAGGAAACAGTCCTAGATCGTTTCGAGGAAATTCTCTGATACTGAGTTACCCGTAAGGTCAGTCCTACTATATAGATTTTGTTGTGTATGGAAGCCCTGCTCATTTCATCCCAGATAAGTTGCTCATTAACTCTATCAAGATTGGGAGGTCTATATATTACTCCTATGATTAATTTTCCCTACCGTCGATTAATTCTATCCAAATTGTTTCTGTATTCCGCTCAGTTTTTATTTCCTTATTTATTTCACACTTCATATTATCCCTGCCATAGATTGCTACTCCACCTCCTTTCCTGGACGGCCTATCGGTATGGAACAATTTGTAATCCGCAATTTAGTATTCGACAGGTAACTCACGTGAGTCTACGTTGATGCATGTTTCAGTGAATGCTCTTATGCCGATTTGTTTCGCATACTACTACTGTTCGCGTAGTAGACATTTAGAATAGTCGCGTTCTGAGTCCTCCCTTTACCCCATTTAGGTCTTAACTCGCTGTCTAATTTAGCTTTGTCATCATTCCTAACACTATTTCCCTGTAACCTTTTACTTTGTTTACCCGCTCCCACTGCAGTCTCCTCCACCCCAGTGCCCATATGTTCCTCTAGTAGTTTAAAGACTTCGATATCTTTTGAACTGCCCCCTCTAGAGACCCAGCCAGGGTTGCCACCCCATCCCGAGACAGGTGCACCCCATCCCTAGCACAAAGGTCCCTTCTGCCGTAGAAGTTGTCCCAGTTGTCAATGAATGGGACTGATATTGACTTGCAATATCTGTCAAGACGGTCGTTGACACCAACCGCCCTTGACAACCATTCACTGCCAACTCTTCTTCTAGGCAGGACACCGCATATGATAGGGATCCCTCCCTTAGACCTAATACGAACTATAGCTGCCTTGAACTTATCAAGAAGCTCCTCGCTCTTACACAGGCCAATATCATTGCCTCCTGCACTGAGGCAGATAATGGGTTTGTTCCCATTACCAGACAAGATATTGTCCATCCTGTCAATTATATCCCCCACCCCAGTTCCTGGGAAACACACCCTCATCCTATTTTTGATTTTACCACAAAAAGCCCTGTCCAAGTACCTTACCTGTGAGTCACCAACAATTAAAGCTTTTATACCTTCCTTGTCAGCCCTGTTGCTGACTGTACTATCGTCCAATTCGTCTATCAAGGGACTGAACGAGTTGGTACACTTAGCTGTTGATGACGTTGTTGACATATCCTTGGTGTGTTTTTTCATCACCAGTTTGGTCTTCCCTCTCCTCACAACCTTCCACTCGCCTGAGTTTTCGTCAGACACTGTCTTTCCTTGTCCCGCCTCTTCCTTCATCCTCGCCATCTCTTCCTTTAATTTCAGGTTCTCCAATGTGGCTCTCTCTATTTCTTCCTTGATCCTCTCCAATTCTTCCTTGGCCCTCTCCAGCTTGGCCAACAAACTCGCACACCCCAGACCACACATAGCACTTGCCATATCCGATAATTATCCCTGTAGATGCACCTCGTGGTCCGGGTAGGTCCTTCAGCTCACACAGGGTGTTGGAGATGGTTCTTGGTCCTCCTGTGATCAAGTTAGGAATTAATAATTCCTCACCTGGGTGGAGTAGGGCGTCCTCATTTCTATCCTGATGTAGTTTGGAGTCTTTCTTGGCTTTTCATCCAGTGTTGATGGTGGTGAGTGTATGGTGGACAGGGTGTGTCTGGTCAGGTCAGGTCAACATTGATCGCCAATCACGATTGTGGCTGTAACAGTTGTTTCTTTGTTTTGAATTGAAATTGTCACTTTTGTATATCAGTTGTGGGTTGATCGTCAATCTTTGCACTGTACTGTTGGTGGGAGGATGTTGGTAAATGCAGATTGGGAAAGGGAGTGCCTAAGAAACCAGGCTGGCAGGTGTCTCCATGGTCAAGAGACCGCGGGCAGCGCCGACGTCCTCACCCTATGAAGGCTCATATATCCCAACCCCTGCTCATATATCCATCCAACCTATGTTTGAAGCTATCCAGTGTATTCGAATTAATGATGATATTTGGTAACTTGTTCCACTCGTCCACCACAATATTTCCAAACCAATGTTTTTTTTTTCGCGCCTAAATCTAAATTTGTCTAATTTAAAACCATTGTTACTTTGTTCTTTTATTGAAAATTTACAATTTATATATATACATTAATATTACATATTAACATATTTGTCAGTGAAATATTTGGATGACGTTCGTTCCTAGTTGTATAGTTTGAGTACCTTTGTAATGTCTCCTTTGTGTGTGTGTGTGCGTGTGTGTGTGTGTGTTTATGTATGTATGTATGTTTGCACATGTGTGTGCATCAGTAACTAATTAGCAGAAGGAACATTCTAGACACTTACCTTTACTATGAGTTGTTCCAGTTGCTGCCTTACTCTCTGGACCATAACCTTTGCTTGTAGTAGCCGTGACGGTGACGCTGTAGTTGGTACAGGGAGTCAGGTCGGTGATGGTGCAGCTGGTGGTGGTGTCATTGGTTATGTCATGGTCTTTATTCCCCTCCCAGGTCCAGCTAACATTATACTTGGTGATGATGCCGTTGGGGTTTTCTGGGGAACTCCATGATACTCTTATTGACGAGAACGAGGATGACACCACAGACGTGATGACTGGAGGTCCTGGTGCTGTAACATATTGTCACGATAACCATGAATACCTTAATATATATAACTTATATTTAACTATGGTTAACATTACTAGAGGTCACCGTCATGATAAAATGTGTAAAGGTCAACAGTGTGCGTGAAGTATGAATGATCATCCTGGTACATCGTTATGGAGGTTCCTGACGCTAGTGAGCAAAGTCTAATTATATTTCGAGTCGAAAATTCGCCCTTACCCCCGCATGACGTCATCTGGCCGGCAGCCCGTGGAGGGGGGAGGGAACCAATGTTATCACCTGGCCGTCGGGGTGTAAAGGTCTATGGCAATGCTTGATAAATGCTCCGTATTTGGATGCATATCAAATTTCAGATCACTGATAAAAGTTTGAGATTTCATCGATTTCCAAATGATGTATGTATTTGCTTGGAGCAAATACATAGGGTCAATATTTGAGAGCCATTGGGAGGTTTAAATTTAAATTCCCTAAAGTCTAACTTTCGGCCAGGAAACCGGATGTGGAGAGACAAGTACCTATTCGTTGCTTGAAACTGTTGTATAGCCTAGTCATCTATATTATATCTAGTGGCCATATGGATAAATTGAAAACCTCGACACATATAAACTTGTATTCACTGATTTATTGTTATGGCTTGGAGAGAGAGAGAGAATGCTGTTAATTATAATCTTAACAATTTCTATTTTTTCTCTATTTTATTTAATTCTTGTATTCCTTCTGACTCCTCAGTAAATAGCTAGCCCATATCCCTATGATTACATAATTGCTTTTACATTGATACTGGCAGGAAAATCATAAAGGTATAAATAACAATAAAGAGAGGAAGAAGAGGATTGTTAACAAAATTTATAATGTATTTTTAATAATAAGAATAGGAATATCATAAAAACAATGAGTACATTTGAAGTTCAAGTGTCTGACTGAAATATAGTGTGCTAGGGGATGAGAAAATCGGGATATAGGGCAAGAATATCTTCTAATACAGTTAGGTAGTCTCACCAGGGATAATACGAGTCTCGCCTTACTACCGTTTTCTTCCATTGCGGCCAACGACGTCACATATAATATCTATCTATCTATCTATCTATCTATCTATCTATCTATATATATATATATATATATATATATATATATATATATATATATATATATATATATATATATATATATATATATATATATATAACTGTTTGGCTGCGGACATTTAAGTTGCCCAAATAGCGTACCCTGTTTTGGAAAATAACATCGATTTTTTTTTCTGACTTAGTAGATGAAGAAGAAAATAAGAAATGGAATTAGTAGGAGAAGAAGAAGAGATTTGGGTGGAAATGAAAAGTTACTTCATGGGAGGATCAATTGAGGGTGAAGAGATAGGAAGAGGACTGGAGGAGGTGGGTGAGGAGGAAGTATAGATGTAAGAAGGTGAAAGAAAACAAGAATGGTAAAGGGAGGGGAGGGAGAAAAAGAATGTGTTTTCGATGTCTTACTTTTTTCAAACGAACTCATTGAGTTTGATCAGTTTTCACAAGATATCAATAAAAAGCACAACTCATTTTTCTTAAACATTCAAGTTCTTTGTGTTCACTTTCTATTAAACTTGCAACGCAAATTGTCAAAAACAAATATGGCAACGTTTACCCTAAGATGATCACAGTAAAATATTTATGAAGTGTTTTATTCTTATCAAATTTATTTTTTATGAATACTGGTAATCTCATTGGCAATAGTTTACGATATTCACCATAAATAACTGTATTAAGCCACACGGCCCACACCTGTAAAAAATCAAACCTCACACACTGACGTTCAGACAGTGAGCCAGTGGACGTCTGCAACCTGCGAGTCTGATTCTGTTCACAGTAGTCGACGTCACGAATTGCCAGCCGGCTTTGTTTTAAATACTGTATATTTATAATTAGAAAAACATAAAAACCTATAATAATAACAACAATAATAATAATAATAATAATAATAATAATAATAATAATAATAATAATAATAATAATAATAATAACAAAATCAGATATAATCAGATAAAATATAAGTCAATAAATTTTATTTCAAACACAAGGTTTGTTTCCATAATTATAATCTGGTCAAGTGTCATGGTTACCATGTTGACAGTTATTTTAAAGAATACCTAGTACTTGGTAATCAATGTAATATAAAGAATCCTCCCTTAAAGTAGGAGCAGCATTTTCTTAGCTTAAACCTAACAATATTACATACCCACCACCGAATTATCAGCAGCAATTCTGACAATTACTAAGATAAAGTGGTTTATATATACGCCTCATATTACTGTATACGTAACATCTGCACTTAACAATAAATAACGCAGGGAGAAAACACACAAGTTTCATTGTCAAATAGAGGCGTCGTCCCCTTGCCAATGCCTGAAGATATTTATATCCGGAAAATTAAAATTTTTAAAGTGATTGAGGTGTTTTTACATACAGGTAGGTAAAACACACTTCGTGGCAGAAACTCAGCAGAATGAACATCAACATAAGTCATGGACCCTCCCGGATGTCCTTTGGAAGGTCCGTGATAGTGTTATTGATTGTTGTGTGTCATGAAGGTGCCTTCCACTGGTCATTGTTGGGGTTCAGAATTTTTTAATATTGTTAACAAATTTAGTTTCTGTGATGTATTGAAGATACAGTATATACACTGATAACCTTTTAAGAAATGATCACGGTATAACACGTATTTCAGCCTCACGTGTTAAGATTCGGTTCCTTTCGGTATCACACGATACTCTGTCCACTTCCCCCCTACTGAAGTGTGTTGCAAAATGACGAGACCAGATTATTTTCCTCGTATCTCTGAAGAATGAAAGTGAATTAATATAAAACAGTAGAACACTAAAAAAGATCCACAACCGTAATGAGATCACTTGAAAATTAGGTAGATGTGTTTAGTTCACCTTAGGATTGGCCTAACTTAATGTACCCTAACTGTAGTCAAAACCATCTTCGGAAATAATTTGCTTAAATAATAATATCGCTATTGTCGTCAACATAAAACTGACACTGATATGAAAAAAAACTGTAAATAAGAAAATCATACCTCAAAATTGCTTAATATCAATATATAACCGTTAATATTTCAACTTATAAACACACCATTAAATGAACGCTGTCAACAGAATGAGATGTCTTGTCCCTTAACATGCTTCTGTATTCATCACCCAGGCAGTGTATCATGTTACTTCACCTTCCCACAACACGTCACCCAGGTAGTGTATCATGTAATTTAACGTTGACACGGCACATCGCACAGAAAGGGTATCATGTTACTAAACCTTTAATAGGACACATCACCTAGGCAGTATTTCATGTTACTTAACCTTCACACAACACTCCTCCCAGGCAGTTCATCATGTTATTTAACCCTCACAGGACACATCGCCCAGGCAGTGTATCATGTTACCTAACCTTTTCACAACACGTCACCAAGGCAGAATATAATGTAATTAAGGCGGCGGCACACTGGGCACTTTTCCTCCCAACATGTTTGGCAAACACAGTCTGGCCAGCAAAACAAAGAGACGTTTGCGTCACACTAGGGTGTTTTGTTGGCGCTTCTGTCCAACTCAATAAAAACAACAACAAAGCGTCTTAACGAAGTTCGCCAAGGAACCCGTTACGACAGTTGAAGCCTCGCAGGATTGTGCTATAGTTTTTCAATTTCTGAAGTAGGAGAAGCGTCTTCACAAGCTAAAGAAAAGACAAGGGAATAATGGTATGCGTCGTCAAAGTTGTTTGCAAGTGGCAGTGGCTGGCTGGTCAAACAAGACCCTGAATAACTATTTCATAATACCATAGAAGTTTTAAAGTGACAATTAAATAAAATATGTCAACTTTTTATTAATTATATTTCAAATTATTATTATTTCATAATTGATTTCAATTTTTACTTGAATATTCAACACCTATAATGAAGCTCATTTGAGCACTAACCCGGCCAACAAACCTCGCCGCCAAACTGTTGTTCATTCCTCGCAACAGTCGAAATCCTGCTGCTTGCTGGGCCATCAGGCCAGCGGCCAGCAAAACGGGCAACATGTTGGGAGGAAAGTGCCCATTATGCCGCCGCCTTTAATCTTTACACAATGCATCATCCAGGCAGTGTACAGGTGTCAGGCTATTAACCTTCACACGACATGTCACCTAGCAGTGTATCACGTTGCTTAACATTCACACGACACGCCACCTAGACAATGTATCATGTTACTTAGCATTCACACGACACGCCACCTAGACAATGTATCATGTTACTTAACATTAACACAACATTTCACCTCGGCAATGTATCACATTACTTAACATTCACACGACACACAAGATGTTACCTAGGCAGTGTATCACGTTACTTAACATTCACACCAAATGTCACCTAGCCAGTGTATCATGTCACTTAACCTTCACACAACATACACGATAAACATACAACTTTTGAATGTTTTCTGCAACATGTGACTCAGGGCACTGTGTTGTCCAGTGTCTCTTCTTCTTCTTCTTCTTCTTCTTCTTCTTCTTCTTATTATTATTATTATTATTATTATTATTATTATTATTATTATTATTATTATTAATATTAATAATAATAATAATAATATTATTATTATTATTATTATTATTATTATTATTATTATTATTATTATTATTATTATTATTATTATTATGCACACTTACCGTCCTCGTCTGTCCTTCCGTCGGCACATGTGTCCTTATTGTAGTCTGTACGAGTCTGGGCGGCCACACACACGTGGTAGATGGTCCAGGTGTCCAGCTGGGTGATGGAGTAGTTCAAGGAGGTGGTGGTAGCTGAACCACCACCATGAGCCTTACTGGCGGGCCCCCAGGTGATCAGGTAGGTGACGCAACAGTTTCCAACGCCTTGTGCCGCGGTCCAGTTCACGAACAGCTGAGTGGAGGACTGACTTTTCACCGTGACGACCTTTAGCTTCGGATCAGGGTCTGATGGGATAATGTACAACAGTGAATTATAGGTGTTTGGCAATACGGATGCTCATTACTGGTATTAGTTCATTTCAGTGTAAAATCTGTTATCTGTATATTTCTAAATTAAAACCATACAGTAACACTGCATATTGCCAAGTGATTAATTTAACATAAAATTATAATTGTTTATCATTTTATAATTATATTATTGTAGCCACCAGACTGACCAGAGCTTGCGATAGTTGGTTCACTCGACCAACAAAATAAGGCAGTCAAATGAAATCAACTCAATTGATTCACTCCAAAAGTGTTAAAGGAAACGTTGTCTACACGTTTGTTACTTCTATTGACTGTGAAACTGTTTGTGTAATTTATATAATACATTATAGGATACGTGTCTGTTTCAACTATAATATACCTTATGTGTGTCTGTGTCAACTATAACATATCTTACATGATTCTGTATTAATTATAATATATCTTATATACAGTATATCTGGCTACAGTATTTTATATCTTATATGTGTGTGTGTGTCAACTATAGTATATAATATGGATGTGTTAACTATGATAGACCTTATATAATATGTATGTGTATGTGTGCCAACAATAATTTATTTATATATTGTGTGTGTGTGCCAACTATAATATACCCTTTATAATATGTATGTGTGTGTCAACTATTATTATGTCTGTGTGTCAACTATAATACACTTTATATATTATGTATGTGTGTCAATAATATTCTGAACCTTAAATATGTCTGTGTATTAATTATAATATACTTTATAGGTGCCTGTGTCAACGTCCTATGCGGAGTCATATTTTTGTCCTAATAAATCACTATTGTTGTCAAAGGATTTGCAAGTCTAATTCATAACTTTAATGCAATAATTTGCAAATAAAAGAGAACGTTAACAGGCCATTCTTAGTACAAATCGAAAAATAAACAAATATTAAAAAAAATAATTAAAGGTAAAAACTAAAAAAAAATACCAGCGATGGTTGTTGTTGTAGTCGCTGTAAGAGGCAGGCCTTCTTTACTGCTGTTCTTCATCGGCTGGACAGTGACAGTGTAGTCAGTACACGGCTGAAGGTCTGTGATCGTATAGCTAATATTGTTACCACCGTCCATAGTGTACGTCCCGCCGTGATCTTTGGGTGTCCAGTTGATACTGTAGGAGGTCGCTTTAAACTCCTTCAACCACGAAGCTTTTATATAGTCTGCTCCCGCTGACAGCTGTAGGTCTGAATTGTCTGTTGGAGAAAAATTATATAAAAGATACAGTGAAATTTTAAGCATAAATTTTCACGGCTGTTATAAATAATGTAGTAAACAGATATAGTAAGTACAATCCTTCTATTACACACACACACACTACTACTACTTTGCTGTCACTCGGAATCGAGTATGACGTTCATCCAGGTATGATACAATGATATGAGTTATTAAGGATGTCACCTAGGTTGGTGAGTTCTGAGGTGACTAAAGAGGCCGATACGGGACCGGCAGGGTCGATCACAGATGCTGCACCTGTGGAGCTACATCTAGTGCGGGGGTGGCAGCAGCCTCTTTCCGGCGTTGGCGTCTACCTCGTTATGCAGTCTTGCTAACTCGAAAGTATTGACACCTTCTTGTATGGTGCTCCTCCACTGCTCACCGCCTGATTACTGTGAAATCACTTGTAGTATATTACGGACCTTGCCTACTCATCAGCAGTTTGCTTTAAATCGAAAACTCAAGTCTGCTTTAATTCAACTTCCTATAATGAATTTCACTATTAAGGATATTCAAATAGTATCAGAGAAATTAAACGTTTTAGCTTTCTTGAACGAGACACATTTTGCTGATTTGGAAAATAACTTGCCATTTTACCTGTCACGGGAATTTGCACTACCAAGTCTTACAATTCCCTCTATTTTGTTAATTCTGGCAATTATGTATTATGTTCCTGTTCTGTTATTACAGGGCAGTATCATCCAAATTCAACATTGTTCATAACATACTAACCCGTACGACACTAAAGTCTAGGTCCCCTGTAGTAGCTAATACCCCTACAGTAGTATAATCCCCAGCTTAGTGTCTACATATCTGTTTGTAACATGGTTAGGGTTGTCTAGGATGTACTGTACTCTGTGAGTTATTTAGGCCTCACGGAGCTCGGCTGGTAGGTGACCGAGCGATGTAATGGGCCCCTGTCTCATCAACAGACCATATTATATAAATGGGTCAATACATCTGATATTATATTCAGATTCACCACCATGTAACTTTCCACTGTCTATGAGTAAGACATGAGTTGGAAACGTGAGCGGGCAACTCTCCCAAGAGGGCGAGACCCATAGTCAGCATTTCTGTAAGCCCACACTGCGAGGCCCTCAAGCTTCAGTCGCTCACATCAACTTATATTGTAAGGACGTGACCTAACGCTTATAATACATAAACGCCGTCCCCTTCTCATTCACTCCTATACAGTGAGACTTACGGTCGATCTACACTCAGGAATTATATATACAACCCTTTTATAATAAAACAAAGGAACTACCGTTTGGGTTTCGTTACTTAAACCCAAATAATAAATATATGTGAACGGACTGGTTAATTGCACAAGCAGCCGATTCACCTCGTTTTGTATCACTTCAAGCTTTTGAATAACTTTCTTACAATAATATACATTATAAGGATGGGAGCTGCATAGTCAATAACTGAACGTATAGTACTGATATAAAACATCCTTAAAATAGGAATACCTTCCATGCCAAAGCTCCTAAAGGTCTTCAACGTTCTTTACATGCATTCTCCTGGTATTGCATCTCACGTACTTTACTGTTGGCCTTACCCAATATACATCCGAAGGTATGTGTAAGCATCAACTTTTTCTAGCCTTAATCCATTCAAAAATAAATCCCCCTGTTCCTAATTTCTGTTTTTATATTTAGTTTATTGTTAATTACAAGGTCCATTCTACACCAAAGTGTACTCAATGCATCTACACTCTAAAGCCTCTTGCATGTTTTTCAAAACTTTTACACTGTAAAAGTATATCATCAGCATATATATTAACTCACGCCTAAGTCTACTCTTACTTTGTAATGAGGTCTACACACACTGAGGTAATTCGGCAAAACTAGCAGGGCCCATCCCCTACTAAGTTGACTGGCCTTGCATTGTGGGTCAGCGTAGCTGTTGCCCTTGCTTCGAACACCTCGCACTTTATTCAATTCCTTCCATTTGTCACCCAGCTCTTGCCTTCAGCGATTTTCCCTAAAAAGTCTGTGCAGTTTTCATTCCGCACCTCTTGCTTGATTTCACTACACATTTTTGCAGTTTCTTTCAGTACTTGCTTGACTTCATTATCATTTGGATTTACACTTTATTCTCTTTGCACCATTTAAAGGAGTTTACTCCAGCCCTGAACCAATTCGTCATTAACATACATATTACGTTTCCCATGATTTATTTCTCCTTTATAACTACACCTACCTGTCGTCAAAACGGAATCAATAATATGTAATAATTCATCATGAAAGCTATCAACATCCTTTGGTTCATAATCTGTATACCAATCCTTTATAGTAGTGATCAGATCCTGTTTTTTGTCTTCCGGCAATCAATATCTTTTCCTCTTAATTAACTTCTGTATTTTGTTAACATGTATAGAAATCGTAATGCAAAATGATCACCAAGCAAATCCTTAACTCTCTCAGCCTTCGCGCTCTTATTCCACATGTATTAAAACATACTGCATAATCTAACCTTCCTCTATGTATGTGGGTAGGCTCATGATTCCCCAATATTTCAATTTCATCAAACTCCTCCAAGAAGTGTAACCATCTCCTTCCATTAATGTTACTCGGTCCCATAGTACCCAGGACTTCGTGTTTGGCATTAATAGTGTAATAGCACAAATTGTATTATATAAATATATACCCAAATGTATATTACCCATGTATTCACCAAGTCATACATCCATGAGTATGAATCAATTGGTGAGTTGACATTTCCTCCATGGAGCGAGTGAGGTCAAGCTGGGTCAACACTTTTCAACACCAACATCCTGTGAGGAACGCTTGACAACTACCCCTCCCTGGTGAGAGAGAGGGACTATCATATCACCTGTTACTCAGTGAACACCTCACTTAAGTGCTCTCCCATAAAAGTGCACTAAGACATTTCCCATAGCAGAGAAGGTACAATATACTCTCAACTGAACTTAGTACCTGTGAAACTATATTTTTCTACAATAAAACAAAACCAACAAAGTGTTTACTTCAGCCCTGCCACTTATCAAATCAAGAACTAATATACTGTATATATATATATATATATATATATATATATGTATATATATATATATATATATATATATATATATATATATATATATATATATATATATATATATATATATATTTTATATATATATATATATATATATATATATATATATATATATATATATATATATTGTCACATGCCTGAGCGCTCGGGAACTCGCATAGCGTGAGGCAGATGTTCACGCTTCCATTTCACACAAGCTACTAATAATTTGTTAATTGTACTTATTATATTATTATTGTTCTTAGTTACTTAGGTTAATTGTATATTTATGTATGTTATTAATATGCATCATTGTCTTACTCTGTTAAGTTCAAATCTAGAGAGTATTAATTAATTATAAAAAATATCTAGCAAATGTCTGGATCATGTGAGACGCGCTCCTCGGCGTACCCACACCACCCCAGTAGCGAAAATCCGTGGCATAGGTTAGACGTGTCCATTCGTTCTCTAGCCTTGACCCTTGTCTAGTGCTTTATCCAGTCTTGTGCAATGCCCTAGGGGTATCAGGTATTAGTGACACGTTTAGTTAGGCCTAGGAAGGGATCCTGGTGGTAAGGAATCTCCTGTTTGGTAGGGATAATCATTTTGTAGTGATTGTTGTATATATATATTTCGTATGTCTTGTGTAATATAGTAATGTTAAGTAATATTTGTTTGGTCTAACTCCTTACAGTATATTTTCGCCCTTCCGGCATCACTCTTATTTTATTATACAATTACTTATTCCCTTAAATTCATGTTTGCTAGTCATTACTCCCTTTCGAACATAAATTGAATTAATTAATTATCTTCCCTCTTGTGATTCACTTATTTCAACTGTTCTTACTTTTTCAAGTGCATTTGGTGGAGTAGGTTTTTGGTGAGGATAATTATTGCCGTGTTCCCTATTTGTTCCTTTATTTGTTAATAACTTGGGGTAGGATTC